GGAAATGTTGATGGAAATACTCGCGTGATCACTTCCAGTACCCCTACCGCAATCGATGCTGATCTCCATCGTTCGATCGTCATAGCAGGGGTGCCAGAATATCGATCTCCGAACTCTGTTGAGAGAGCTAACTACGACTACCAATCCACATGTTCTGTGTTGAGTTTCTTAGATATAGAGTATTTACCGTCTGCTGTTTACAGAATGGGCATCCCAAACCCAAATCGACCCAGACTGTTAAAAGTCGTTCTGCCTACTAGCAGATTCCAACGGCAGGCTGTCCAGAGAGCGCCACGCCTGCGCTCCTTCTCTCATAGGGGGGTTCACCTACGCCCTTCCCTAACTAAGGAAGAGAGGGAGCGCAGGCGTAGGGAACGTCTGGGCAACCCGTCTTCTCCTCATGATGTGAACGCTAGTAAGTCTCCGGTTTCTTTTGCAGTTAATTGTGCTTCTGATCAAAGTGCTGTAGCAAATAGTATGTCTAGCAATGCTCGTGCGGGAAACCTCTCATAATTCATCGGCCTCGTGGTCTCAGGGCTACGTGCATGTTGTCTAACGTCAGATCATTCGTGAAAAACAGCAATTATGTTATCATGCTCTTACTTCAAAAAAATTTTGACCTGGTTTTTCTATCGGAATCTTGGCTGAATTCTAGCGTTGAATTACCTTCGCTCTTGGGTGCCGTGAACTCTCAGTAAATTACGTTCGGTGCGATCGCGCTTATAAGAGAGGCGGAGGCGTTCTCATTCTCCTCAAACAATCTATCACATATAATTTAGTTTTTAAAGAGTCGGCTAAAGACGCTTATGAAATTCTGGTCATTGATGCTTTTCTTGAACCTTCATCGGTCAGGTTCATATTGGTTTATAGAACTCCGTCTTGTAGTGCTTATGCGACTTCGTTGTTAATCAAAGCTATCAGCGATTTTACCTCTTACAACGGTCACACTGTCGTTCTCGGTGACTTTAACATGCCAGATCTCAACTGGAAAAACGATTACCCTACCAATACTCCTTCGAGTGAAATGATTACGCTCACACATCTCAAACAATTTGTTCAGAACCCTACCCGAGGTGACTCCTGTCTAGACCTTTTGTTCTGCAATTCTGATTCACTTGTAAAAAAAGTTGTGGTTATGCCGCCTGTTGGCAGTAGTGATCACGCGTCTATTGAGTTTCATAAACGCTTCAATGTCAGACTTCAGTTATTGTGAAGTGAGAGATTTTAAAGCCGCT